TTATTATTATTATTATTATTATTATTATTATTATTATTATTAGTCACTTACGTGTGTCTCATCAGTGAATTAGATGAAGAAATGAGCGATGAATAATGTTACTGATGAATAAGAATGTACTTGTTTTTTTAAGTTTCGTTGTGCGTAACATAAACATTACATACCTACATGCATTGACCTACCAATAAATGGACGTCGGGTGCGCGCTAAAAAGTGTCCGCACCTTTAGGGCGTTAAAATCGCATACAGAGCGTCAATCGCGCAACAGTCTTCGTTTGTTCGACTGACAGCGCGGTTGTCAATCATGCAGTACCTACCAATAATAATAACTTTTAAAAGTTACTACAGTTAAGTGTAGAAACAGGATTTTTATCATATTTTCACTAAACGAATTGTGTTATCATAGTTCTCATTTAAAAGAGTTATTTTGTACAGTTTTGTAATATTCAATTTATATATATAATATGAATCGTAAATATAAATTACAAAAGCACAAAATAATCAAATAGCTAACTGTCCTTTTTCTACACATTGCATGCGCAAAATATGGAAAGAGACCCATTGCGTCAGTTTCAAGAAGCTTGTATATAAATTTCTTGGTTGTTTTCAATTGTTCGAACCACAAGCAACTGAAATATTTAGGACAAAGAAACTATAGAGTCGCTTTGATTTTAATCTTATTTCTAAAAGATTTTTTTTATTAAACGTTAGCATTAACTAACAAAATATTGTTGTACTCGTGTTACGGCTTGGGATTCACCTATCGAAGTCAGAAAATGCATTTGCCCGAAATAACGTTAGCTCGAATTTTCATAATGTCAAATGTATTTTTTTAGGAAGATTACAAAACAAAACTAATTTTCTCTTTGTGAAAAGCATCAAAATTATTCGAAAGCGTATCGGTTTATTATAAAGCGGTTTTTGGAATTACGGATATTTGAGTTTACGTTTAGTTGGAATATCGGTACATTTCTTATAGTACACGCTTATTTTAACATTTGTAGTAACATTTGTACGTGTGTGTTGTTGTTTGTATCTACGCAACTCTTTATTATTATCTTTAAGTGAATTTGTACAGAATTAGACATAATAATATATATAATAAAATACATAAAATTAATTAATATTTACGAGAAAGGCTACTCCATTACTCTTGCGTTCAAGTAATTTTTAGTCGAAGCTAAATATGGTGCATTTTGTTAAGTTTCCAGTTTTTTTCGTGTTTTTGTATTAGACCCGATGTCCATTTGTTGGTAATGTCAATGCCTGCATGCAATTATTAAAAAGGTTATTTTATTTAAGAAAATCTTTGCTGTCCTGTCATAATCTAAGCGGAACAATTTGCCTCAAAGGCGGAACGACGCGCCCCAATGCGGGACTGAATGTTCCGCTCCGAAATTTGTCAAAAATTTACCTCTGTAAAAAAACTATTGAGATATTAGTGGAAGTGACTGTAATATTTACAAAAAGCGATAAGATATTGAAAATCAAACCCTTAATTTTCAGTATAAAAACTTCCAAGTTATTTGAAAATCGGAACGTGCAGCCCCATACTCTCCCCTACCTACCTTTTTTCATTTTACGTGGTCCAAGGACACGCGCGTACGGTACGTGTAGTAAGTAATGTTATGCGTCTGGGTTGTTAGGGTTGTCGAAACGCATAAAATTAGCATTTTAATGATAATTTTTGGAATGTTTTGAAAATAAAAACGTTTAAAGTAAATAAAACGCATGTGTGTAACGTTCTTCAAATAATACTTTTGGCTTTGTCGGTTATTCCGTTGCACCTTGTATACTAAGGTTCGTTTTACTTTGCGTTTTTTGGCATTCGAAAAGGTAAAAAAATAAGCTCAAATTTTTATAATTAAATTACGTCTCAGTCACTCCACTGAAGTCCATTCCGTAGCAATTGCTGTTAAGATGATCAGTTATGACTGGAACCACACTGGTTGCTTTTTGCATGTCCAAATTGCTCAACGCTGCGTAATGAACCTGTAGATAAAAATTAGTTTTATTTTATGATACCGAGTGACGGAACGAACAAGTCGTGCACGTGCAGGGTAAACGACCCGCCTGTCCGTAACACTTGTAGTGCAACTCAGAGCTTTAAATAGCAAGGATCTGAGGCGCAGTGTCACTACGTGCGTCACTCCGGAACATAAGTTGACAAGTTACATATGTCTATAAATTCACCATCACCCTCACCCTTCAAAACCCGAACGCAGTAATTCTCACATTAAGGCTTGACGACAGAAATAGGTATCGTGGCAGTACTTGCCTAGACGAACTCCCTCACAAGGAGCTCTACTGCTACTAAGTTGGTTAGTTTGTTACTGTACTACAAGTCCCTACTGGTCACTATCTACTGACCCGAGAGATAGGGTTTTCCGGAGAGACTACGGGTTCGACGGGAAGACGACGGCAAGTAGTGCCCTTCCGCATAACCAAGAGGTTGATAGGGAGGGGCACTATAAACAAAAAAAACTTATGTAGGATGATATGGGACTGTACTACAAACAATTGCAAACAGTTTCGACCACGCAGCTCCAAATCCCCTACGGCTCACTCTAATAAAATTAACACGGTTCGGCGTAAACACACTGTCTGTCCTTTTTTTTATAACATCAAGTGACGGGACGATCAAGTCGTGCGCCTGATGGTAAGCTGCCTGTCCTTCGGTTACAGTATCCACTAGCTGTGCACAGCGTTATCTTTTTAAAAAGATAAACAAAATCCTTAATATTCACCCTTGTGCAGAGCGGAATATAAATAAATATAACTGTACTCGAATATATTTTATGCGTTTTGTCGCTTACTGTGCTGCGGTTTAATTAAATTTGTGATTTTCATTTATTTAATATGATGTTGAGAGGGAGTTCGCCTGGAGATACATATGTAATACAGGTCCCCAAGCTAGTATAGACTCCAGCTCTCACTAAGGAACTTGTAATTTACATGAAATGAAACTACTTGTACACCTTTTTGAATGAAATAAAGCATTCTGTACTGTATTGTACGTATACCTACTGTAATATTCCACTTTTCCTTAAGTATTAATAACCATTGAAATTTAAAATTTAAGTGACGTACCACAACCTTCAATTTAGAATTTTCAACGTCTGAGGTTTCCGTCCAGAACATAGAGTTAATATCTCCAACGTGACCGCTTTGAAGTACCATTCTATTTTCCACTGCTTTCACTTCAGGGCATGGCAAGTAATACTCACCACCCCAAATACCCTAATGGAACAAAATAACAGATTTAACGTGGACTAGAAAGGATCAATTTTCGTATAAAACCAGTATAAATACTCACATTACACAATACACTAAACGCCAGATTTGTATCAGGTAATTGTTCCATATTATCTTGGTCGGTTACAGAAACCAGATAAATGGGCTGATCTGTTTCTTTTCTCCACTGTTTTACAATGGTTTTTAATCCCGGTACAGAGGGGTACGGAGACAAAATTACGAGCTTGGTACGAAACGAAAGAGATAATCGGGTCTTTGCCAGGTAATCTAAGTCAAAAGCTGTACGGACAGTTACAACAGCAGACTCTGAAGCCACGTGTGTGGGTCTCCATTTCAACAGTTCCAGTTTTGTATTATTTATGCTGTGTGAAGACAGCACACTGTAAAGAGCTGATGGTCGTACGCGATCATTGACAGTCTCTTCTCGATTCACGATGAAAGTGTCTCGTTTCAATACACGGTATAGTATTTGGCCCATCTGCAACCACCGTACAACAATGTTTAAGCTGTCATATTTTATTATTCAAAATGCATAGAATTTCATTGCTGCAATTAACGATACATATACAAAATTAATATTATTATAAAAGCTTACGTGTTCATCCAACGATAGGTTCTGAACCAGGACCAAATCAGTTTCAGAAAGAAAATTTTCCTCCAGTGTCAACATCTTATCCGTACTTATTTCGCTATAGTTAAAACTTATTCCAGCAATGCTATGGAGGCCAACTTTTAGGTCGCAAAACGTATCCTTCGCTTGATTTGTAATTCCCACTATATTGATAGTACCCTTGTTGATATTTTCGGATACTATTTGCAAGTAAACTTTCCAGGCGACGGCTGTCTGAAATGTATTATAAGCTTACTTTGACTTTTAAGTCTTCTATCGTCATTCGATGAAAAAATACCGTATACGGATAGCTTAATGTTTCATATGAATAGTTTATATGCACCAAGAATATGTTTGATCATACTTACATCGATATCAGCATCAAAGTGGGGAACAAATTCTACAATCTCCAGATTGGCTGAAATTTCATCTGTAATCGATATTTCTTGGTACCTAATACTTTCTAATAAAATACCACCGCATCTGGAATTTATAACTTCATATAAAAAGATAAACTTTGTAGACTAAACAGAACTTATATATATGTATATATTTAAGAAAGTTACCTCATGTAATCATATTTCTCGAAAACTTGAGCTACTAGCAATTTTTTATCGTGTTCCTTTATTATATTGTCGTCTGTCACCCTATTATTGTCTATCATAATCCTCCTAATTTTAGTGGGTGTAGAGAAAGAAGAGTGCGATTGCCTCAAGTTATCCAACTGTAGCATTCCATCCAATAAAGTTACCCAGTTGTTTTTCCAGATTATTTGAGCTTCAGTAAACGACGAGTTTGCTCTGTGAATAGAGCGGAATTCACCTCTGAAAAAGTAATTTGTTTAAAAAATACATAATATTTTTACAGAAATATATAGTACGTACATTTGAATTGTCTTACTCATATTGGTAATCCTTCTCGTGAAAGAGTTGATACACATCGTCAGAAACAAGATCCATCGTTTCTTTTGACTCAAATGCGCTTCGGAAATGTTCCATATCAAGACAAAGACCTTTGTCGATAAAGCCCGATGCTACAAGCCCCATTTCATTATGTACCTGAAATTATAGACGTAAATGGCCTTGCAAATCTGTACTTTAAAAGACAGACTGAAACGAACTTTATAAAAATCTCGAGCCAACTACAATTGTTGACGATTTCAGCTGTATCTCTGTTATTTTTCCAGATACTGTCGCTTTATCATTGGCGTCTACAGGGTTATTTATTTGTACTACAGCAAATTAAAGTCGCTTCTCGACATAGCGAAGATATGGCATTTGTTAACATATGATTTACAATGTTGTGACGGTGCTAGTGTTTACCTCAAATTTGCCGCTACCGCGGAAATAATAAACGCGCAAGCGCGTCGCTCGCGTTGCATGCAGCGGCGGCTGCACAAACAGACACACATCACGGAGTTCGACTTGTAACTGTCGCCGTGGTGAGCCCTGAATCATTGCGTACGTGTCCCATACCGCTTCTATTGCCGCCGCAAACGGTAACGGGTTCTTGCCTGGAAAATATCAATTTATATTATTGTACCGTTATCACTGACATAAATCTTTTCATTTTCACGTTTCATCTTTTGCTATTTACACAAAGTGTAACAGAAAGATGTAGTCCATTATAAGTACCCAAAATGCAAAATTTCTGTCAAAAATTAATTACTACAAACTTGATTGAATTTTAAATTAGTTAATTTTACACATTTTTAATTTCATTCTTTAAAAAGAAATCATTCATGGACATGTCAACTATCATAACTTCTTCTTTCATACGAAGTGCAGGACCTTTCCCGAAAACGAAATGCTGTCAGTTTACGTTATTTTGAATCCTTTCAGTTGCAGTTACTTACGTAGATATTAAGCCAAATATTTATTAGATACATAACAGTATCAATTTATTGCCAAGTCAGGTTTTCATGTAAACGTGTACATGTACACATTGTATTTACGTACAATTTTAATACAGTAGGAGATAAGTGGTGCAATAGGTAGGAGATAAATGCTCCGTTGTAATATAAACAAATCTTTGTATACACACAATTGTTTCGGGATTATAGTTGTTTATAATTACGTATTTGTTCTCGACAAATATACATCAGTACATACTGTTCATTGCGCTCGTTACGTACTTATTATAATTCACCGTTCATGATGTGTAGTAGTACTACATACATACCAACTCACTGCACACAGCGCATATGCACAACCAGCGCACATTTACAGATACGGCTCAAATCGCCCCTGAAGCCGTAAGTACATGGAAAAGCTCACTCTCTACGGAGAACCGAACGAAAGCCATTTCAATGCGCCTTCTCGTCAAGAGAGCTCTTTTACACTGCGCGTTTTTGACGTTCACCTTATCGTCTATGTTTGGATCCTGGAAACACTCTATAAATTTGTAGTCGTACCACCATCCCCCGAAAATACTCCAGAAATGGTTGATCTCCTAAGACGCCGTCGACAAATAGCTCTTAATAACCTGGCATCCGTACTTTTATTATAATACACGACAGACGAACAAGTCGTGCACCTGGTGGCAAGCAACACGCCATACCAGTTGCAATGCACAGTATCATTCCAGAGTAATCTTCACATTTGCCACATATAAATAAAAGAAAATGGAGCGAGCGTTTCTAGTCCTCACAACAAGCACTAGTCAAAAAATTCAAAAATCATAATTGTCTGGTAACAAATTACGTTTGATTTCATTAAGGACGAGTCTCGACTTTTCGAGTTGAAATAGTGATGATATACTGTGGAATTCCCACTGGAAAGTGGTTTCCACTTTACTCTAATTAGCCTTGAGAACTATTTCAGGTATTAGTATTTTTACAGAAAGAAGAAATTCTTATAAGTACATTTACAATACTGTAAAAAAAATAGGTACACCAATTAGAACGTGCATTAACTCTGTTTTATTTTTTATAAAACCAAGTGTAGTTTTCATTTTTTTAAACAAAAAACCCTTTTAACTGGTAATATTCACAGAACCAAACAATATTTAAAAAAAACTAAATATTTTCAGCGCCGTCAAAAATCTACTCTTCGGCGTAGGTAACGTTCATTGCAAAGAGACCGATAAAGAATAAATTCAATGAATGAAATTATGTACAATTACAACGATTACAAATTAATCGTCTCATCACAAGACTATGCAATGCAAATGTCTAGTGTTAGTGACATCAGCTGATTGAAATTTGGAATTTTTGTAAATAACATGTACACTCAGTAGAATATAAACTTGAAATCTACCACCAGACCTCCCTGTTACACATTGTATATTTTGTTTTACTCGTCTTTATCCCCAATAGAGTAACTAAATCTAGAAGGGTTGATGCCCACAACTACGTACCTATTTAAAATAACGCACACAAACACTCATAGCCCTGCTCTAGGTGAAGTCTGTATCGCGGCTGCCATGGACACACACATAGACAACCACAAGTGACACCCAAACTTACGAGATAAATAAATGTAGGCCACACAAAAATTTCTCCCGACCCGGGAATCGAACCCGAGACTTCTGCGTGGCAGTCCAGCATGGTAACCGTTCGGCCACGGAGGCAGTCAACCGTTGGCAGCCGCTACCGTCTGTCCTAAACAGTTGCAAGTTCTATATTTTTGTTCATAGCAAATCTATTTTTTTTTTTAACTTTTATTATGAGAAAGATCAGGTTACCTCTTAACACATGTCCTTGTAAATAGCTGTGTTCATCGTCGAAGATCGATGGCACGAAATTGCATATTGGATTTTTTTGCGTCGATCCCTTTTTGTAGAGTGGCACATTCCTGTTACATTAACTTTTAGCTCAAATGATGTTTGCTATGTATTAGCCAGCAGTTTTACCATGGAATTATTGTATGCTTTACGAATAATATCAAAAGCAACAGGTACCATTTTTCAGTGTGAGCCCATTCAACAAAATGAGACAGCATCGGTGTGTTTGTGGAGACGGGGAACTGTATTGTTGGATACAGAGCGGCGATATCCAGGTTGTATCCGTCGATAAATAGTCTGCAAAGTAGTTAGTGGTTAATCATATACAGTATCACCATCGACGAAATGATATGCTAGTATCACACTTCGGACTCACTTGCCAATAGCATCAAGAACCATTATCGCGTTGTCGGGATGCCCCCGTCTGGTGAGAGGGATATTGTTGCAGCTGGGCATCGATCTCTTCAAGATAGCTTGCAACAAACCGTGAGGAGCAATTTCTACGAGGACCGCATTCGTTGGTATCAATTGAGCAGTCTCTTCGAACAGTACTGGATTCTGAATGAAATTTTATTATATATATTCACTGGATACAAGTTCAATTTCCTGATACATAATATATGTACACATGTCTAATATATGAGTCATTATCTCAGCAAAGCAATATCTGGTGGTAAAAATTATAATATAGGTAACTAAATTATACCAGTAGGTTATTAGTGTGGTATTCTGCAGAAGAATATTTGGCAGTAGGCTCTCCCCACTTTTCTTGAGGTACTGACGTTGACACCCATCGCTCGCTGCGCTCCTTTGGATCCTTGATTATTTCACTCAAATACTTCAGGAGACCAGGACCTAAAATAATAAAAATATTCAGTTCAATGCAGGCAAGACAGCTGAGACATAAAATTGTTTAAATTGAAACCTCGATTTAGCTACAATTGTTGATAACTAGGCTGATTTCTTAAGAGCGAGACGTATAAGGTAAGGATGCAACAACCTATTGATCACAAAAAATGCTTTATACAATAATAATATTCTAAGCATAATTACATACATATTTTCAAAATTATCATTAATTACTTGGTAAAATATGAGCAACAAAATTTTAAATTAGAAAAAAAAGAAAAAACTGACCAGCTTCAGCAATGTATCGCGAGTGGTAAGCGATATTGGAGCACGGCACCTCTTTGGCGAAGATGCCCTCAGCTCTCAACTTGGCAACGAATTTCTTCATTATATCAGACGGCCCTGATATGGTGCTTGACTCGGAACTATTGTGACATGCCACTTCGATTTCCGGTGGAAGCATTTCTAACACCTGTCAAATTTTATGGACAGATTTATAATTCTTTTTAAAAAATAGTACGTTTCTATTCACAATCATCATCTCGGCTATATGTTGGCATACTTATTCAAATCGTTCTATTTTAAACCGTAAATTTCAAATGCTTTGTAATAAGGTACAATTTTCAACAAAGATTTTTGACAGATTAGTTGAAATACGATTTTCAATTGTTCCAAATATACGTCTTACAAATTTAAAAATACAAGGAGTTGAATAAACAATCGAATATATCTCTACCTATATGTCCATAGGGTGGAAACAAATCCTATCCTAGCCTATCACCTATCCTAACTTCAGCCTAGTATAGTTAGAAACTTCTTAGGTACATCTGTGATTTATTTATGAAATTGATTAATTGAGGAATTAACTACATCAAGAGTTAGTTGAGGTTACCTTCTCGCATCCCAATCCCACCGCAGCCATAGAGCCGTGAATGAAAGGCGTTTGAATTGAGACCAGCCCACGACTGTATGCAGAAAGGATCATCTCCTCAGCAGTGAAGCAACCGTCGGCGTATGCGCAACCCAGCTCGCCTACGCTATGACCTGTTAATATTTTTTATTTTATTGTTGTTAGTTGGTATAGCGTCTGGTACGGTATGCAAGAAGACGTCGGTTCGAATCCGACCGGATCGAAGGAATTTTTTCTGAGTGTTCTATCTTTGTATTAATAATTATAACAAACTAGTGGAGTCATTTCACAAAAAAAAATTGCATATCAATTCAATAAAAATTTAATTAATACAGTGAATAGCGACATCTCTCACCAGGACTGGTAGCGGTAAAGGTACTAACTGGGTGATAAGTCTTTCATAGATTTCTCATAGATGGCGCTACGACTAAAAAGTCGTTGAAAAACCAAATACAAAGACACGACGCAAGCAGATAGAAAAATTCGTGAGGTTCGTTGGTTCGTTCCGTGGCTTAGTTGGTATTTCGTCTGGCACGGTATGCAAGAAGACGTCCGTTCGAATGCGACCGGATCGAAGGAATTTTTTCTGAGTGTTCTATCTTTGTATTAATAATTATAACAAACTAGTGGAGTCATTTCACAAAAAAAATTGAATATCAATTCAATAAAAATTTAACAAAATAATTTCTTTTTCTTTCTTTTCTTCTTTCATAGTGTTTAGATGTTAGTGTTATTAGATGTCCTCGTCTGCCTAGAATGCTGAGGGTCGTGATTTCCATTGAGGATCTGCACTTTATCTATGTTCTCAGCGGCAGTTACCACTTTTGGAACTGAGTTGTTGTTTTACTCGAGAAATATAAATAGTTTACACACCTATGACTTTGTCTGGTTCAAGTCCAATAGATTTGAGCACATCTGTCAGACCGATCTGTATGGCAGCGATGCCAACGAAAGAGTTCAGGATATTGTCGAAAATCGTCTTGTCCGGGGACGTGATTATGTGCACGATGTCGATACCTTTTGGCTCTAGGGCAATACGACAGCTGAAAATAATTTAGTGGTAATTTTAAGTATGATCAACTACGAACCGCCATAGAACTTATAAAATTGAGCGAAATAGTTAAATCTTGAAAACACATTGCCTAAAATGAGGATTTTACGTACCGCTCAATAGCGGCGGCGAAGATGGGAATACGCATAAGGTGCACTCCCATGCCTGCCCACTGTGAGCCCATTCCGCTGTACACGTACCAGAGCGGGCGCTTGGTATCGTCAAAGACAGCCACCGTTTCTTCAAGGCACACTGTCTTCTGTTCCTCATCGGTATCTGTAATTTGAAAGGCGTAATATATTTTGTACCTCACATTACTTTTCACTCAGAAAGTATCTTAAGTTTGCTGTACAGGGTAATATATCACTGGCGGAGGAAAAAATTGGCTTATGACTTGAACCATGTGGTTAAAATTTTCATTCTACAATTTGTTTTCATAATCGTCTGGGTTATTGCCAGATAGTTCCCACTAAGTGAAACTCGCTAGAACCTTAAATCGAGACCACTGATTGCAGCGCCAGCGTAGACCAGTTTAAGAAAATATTGCAATGTGCTTCATACCTAGAATAATGTAGCCTCTGCCTAAATAACCAGAGATCCTGTGCTTGTGTATATTGTGGAACAGGGCAATTTCTTCAGGATCGATCGGTCGGTTCTTCAAGTCATTGAGGGTGTTTTGGATATTTATGTCTTGTCTTGCTGAAATCGTCACTAGGCGCGGAAAGTTACACTTGTAACGATTTCGGTCCTGTTGAGAATATCGTCCTTTAAAGTTGTATAAATTCCAATTTATTGACAAAATAACAACTCAACAATTCGAAGCTCAACTACATAAAATATCGAATCAGTGAAAGAACTTATTGAAGTAAATGTAATACTGGCAGTTGTATTCCTGATATACAGCCAATAACCATGCTGTGTAGACCATAGATAATTAAATGTCTATTATTGTCCTCAGTTTCAGAAGGTTCAAAAAGGTATTGTACCTTAGGCTTATAGTAGCCCTTAAGCAGAGCGTGGGCGTTAATTCCAGTGACCGCATTGCTGTTGACAGCTACGTAAGCTATTGGATTGATCGGAGTGTGCTCAGTGACGACTTTCATACGCCCGTCGCGGATAGCCTCTATGTCTTGACGAGGAGTTGTACAGTGCATGTTGGCGGCCAACTCGGCTCTCTGATAGCCTAGTATAACCTGATAAAACAGATGAAAGTTCAAAGATTACGTGTAGCCAATATGAACGTCACAATGGTTCATACAGTATTCTATTACAACAACAACATGACAATCATTAATTGACAATTACCAACCTGAACTCAAACTTTGTACTACCCTTTGGGCCAAGCCAAGCTGCCAAGCAGCTATGGCTATGTTCCGGTTTGACGCCCTGAGTAGGCACTTGACGCCCAGAGTAGTTTCTCTGCATTGATTTAGTGGATCTCAGTGCTCCCTTGTTGTTGTTCTGGGAACCTGGACGCGGAGGGTAGGATAGGTTCCGTGTCTCCGTGACCTCGAAAACCCTAATCTCTCCGTAATGTGGGTTCTGGTAGACACTGGACTAGAATAAATTGTCTACGCCAGTGTGTGCCGGTCGCATGCTTGAGCCCCGAAGACGACTAGGCCGTTCAACTATCTCTGCTGCTCTGCAGAAACAGTCCAACAACAGTCTTCTCCTAAAGCGCATCTATTCTAAAGCGCAACTTGTCTTTTGGGGGACTTTAATACCCATCATCAGAAATGGTTGTTCCCATAACAAAAGTCCGACCACGCTGGAAGAGAGGCGCGAGCATTTACTCTATCGGTAGATCTCACCCAGCTGGTGAGTTGCGCTACCCGGGTACTGGACGTTGACGACCACACAGCCAGTTGCCTGGATCTTCTGCTGACAAACAATCCAGACCCCTATCAAGTATCGGTCTCGTCCCCACTAGGGACATCCGATCACTGCCTGGTGAAATCTGTATCTGTCCACTCCCCACCCGTTCTCAGTACGAGAGGTACTAGGAGAATGTGGCGATACAAGTCAGCAGATTGGGATGCGATGCGGCACTTCTTTGCATGTTATCCATGTTACTCGTATGGCATGGCGGCACCTGTGCTTCACTTCTGAAGATCCGACGCTAAAAAGAGGTACTTAGAACTCTGCGGAATCTAGACGTGAATAAAGCTAGCGGGCAAGGTGGAATTCCAGCAATAGTCGTACGTAACTGTGCGCCTGAGTTTTCTCCTGTTCTCACACGCCTGTACCGCCTCTCACATGAGACTGGTGTAATTCCCAGGTCATGGAAGCTTGCAAATGTGCAACCTGTGCCAAAAAAAAGGAAACAGAGCTGATCCTGTCAACTATAGACCTATCCATACACTTCCATACTCTGCAAGACTATGGAACGTGTACTCATCAACCGTCTTCTGTCGTACCTTGAAGACAACGACCTTTTCAGTGATCGCCAATACGGATTCCGACGAGCGTGATCTACTGGGGATCTTTTTGTGTATGCCTGTCACATATGGAGGTAGGCTATAGAAAAGCAAGTACTTGCAGTGTCCTTGAACATTTCTAAAGCCTTTGATCTGACACACAAGCCTTTTAAGTAAGCTTCCCTCTTAGTTCCTTCTCTCGGAGTTCTTGAGCGAACATTAGATTCGAGTAGTCTTAGAAGGCTACTCTTCCGAACATTTGGCGATAGAGACCACAGTTCCTCAGAGTTCAGTACTGTCTGCAACTCTCTTTCAATCAATGATATGTTAATTCCTGGTACTTTAGTGTATGCTGATGACAGCACAGTTGGAGATAGGTTGCATAGGATGCAAGGGTCAGTGGAGAGGAAAGTCAGTCTTGTCGAGAGTCTATGGTTAGTAGTTTGGATTTGATACTTAAGGCAGTCTCCGATTGGAGCGATGCCAATCTTGTCAAATTTAACGCTACCAAAACTCAGGCGTGGCGTGTCTATTCTCCACAAAACGGAGTCCCTTTGAACTGACTCCGACTTTTCGTGATATATCCATACTGATAGCCGACCGTCTCCAGCTACTTGGAATAGGTTTGAGGCGTTACTTTACACCGGGACAGTTGCTCCAGCTGTACCAAGCACAAGTCCGGACGTGCATGGATTACTGCTGCCACCTTTGGGATGGCTCTGCTACATACCAACTGGCCACCTTGGATTCAATTAACAATAGTGCCAAGAGGCTTATAGGTGACTCGGAATTAGTGAAGGCGAAGCTGCAGAGCCTTGAACACTGCCGTAAAGTTGCCTGCTTATTGGTATTTTACAAGATATATCACGGAGAGCATACGATGGAATCGATTTACACACACACTCACAGAGGTACAGAGTTATGTGCCAGATGCTCGAACAACAATGAAGAGATCCGGTGTAAACGAGAGGCGATGGTCACCTGGTTGAACCTGAGCCTGAGAGCGGTTTCCGACTAGGTAGACGCAAACAGAGTCAGGTTTAAATATGGCTAAAACACAGGCGTGTCTTTTCGCATCAAAGGCAATGCCCTACACCTGACTCCGACTTTCCGAGATATGTCCGTGTCGATAAGTGACCGCCTTGAACTACTTGGTCTGGACTTATCATCCAACCTCAACTTTGGGCGATAGATCGAGTGCTTGGCAAAAACTGCTGCCAAAAAACTAGACATACTATACAAGGTCAGGCGGTACTTCACACCTGAACAGCTTTTAAAGCTGTACAAAGCACAAGTTCGATCGTGTATGGAGTACCGCTGCCACCTTTGGGACGGCTCTGCCCATTACCAGTTAGCTGCCTTGGACTCGGTGGAGCGAAAAGCAAAGAGACTTATTAACAACAATTGTCTTGAGGAGTCGAAAGTACAAAATCTCGTCCATCACAGAAAAGTAGCCTGCTTGTCGGTTTTCTATCAGATACATTTCGCGAAGTGTGCGCAGGAACTTTTCAATTTAGTTCCACCCTCACCGTTCCTCCTTCGGTCAACTGGAAGGTGCGGAACACTTCATCCTTCTGTCGTTGATTGGCTTCATCCCATTCACTCTAAGCGCTTTGCTTGCCCCTTTCTGATAAGCACGGCAAAGGAGTGGAATACTCTACCGGCATCTGTTTTTCCAGAAAAGTACAATTTGGGGCTATTCGAGGCTAGACTGAATAGGATTTTTATAGGCAAACGCGTACCATCGTCGGTCACTTCGTTGCTTAACACCAGGTGAGATTGTGACCAAGCGTGAGTCTATTATTTATTAAAACAAAACTAGTGAATCCCAGTATTACGAGTACCGGAGTAACGAAATTTTTTCTCAGGTCACTTACCCAAAATATCTAACTAGAACCAATTTAGTAAAGTTTTTTTATGATACCAAGTGACGGGACGAACAAGTTATGCACCTGGTGGTAAGCGACACGCCTGTTCATAGCAGTTGCAGTGTCATAAGTAGGCAAGTCCCATGAGCCTGTAACTTCACCAGCACCCTAACCTTTCAAAACTTTATACTACCCTCTGCTTGGCAACAGAAATAGGTAACGTGGTAGTCCTTCCTTGAATGAACTCTTTCACAGCTCTTCTACTACTTGTTATTACTATCTATTATTGTTGCTAGTCCGTTTCTGAAATTGGTCGTACTTACGGAAAAATTTGAATCTCATTCGAGACTTTCTTATATAACACCCATAATCCTGAACACTATGCCACTGAGCAATACTTCTTCAATATGATAAATAACTGACATTATATTAAAAACCTATACTAGGTATACATCACTATGGCGATGCAGGTCCAGATTATTGGTCGGTCATTATAAGTTTCCACCTACCTTAGTAATCGCAGAAATGCCAGAAGCTGCCTGTGTGTACCCGATGTTGGACATAACACTGCCGACTAAGAGGGGTTCATGGCGCTCTTTGCAAAACACCGTCTCAATCGCCTCCAGCTCTTCTTTATCAGCCTCTGAGCCAGCTGTAATGAAGTAACATGATAAAGATTATAATAAAGATTAAATGTGAAGGTGAAAAAGTATACCATCAAATTCTGGCTTAAGAGTAAAACTTATAATGGAACAGAGGACTTGCTAGAAGTTGTTTCATAATTATTTTTATATAACAATTAATTTATAGGTAACTACTAATTCTTTTATTGTTAAATACAATGTGTTGTTTTGCATTCTCGCCAAATTTACAGAGGTTATTCTATATCCGAAACTTAATCCAAATCACTAAAAATGTAAATCTCAAAAACGAATTCCAAAATTCTTATTTTTTATTTAATTGCGGTAAACATCGATTCGCAATCACATGATCCAAAGGTCATTAACTTTTGCAAGTCACGTGCAACTAAACAGCAGACCGAGAACAGAGAAGCTAGTGTTGTTATCTCTTTCTCAAATGCAAGCGCGCAGTGCTCATGCTCCGGGATAGCCGCATTCTTATGCGCCGCAATCAATTTAGTTAGAATTGATCAATTCTAAGAAGTCTATCGTGAAATACGCGCGTGGTTTGTTGTTTTTTACAAGAGATTTTTCTGTTTACAAGAACTGTATTACAATCAAGTAGTTCTCGTTATGGACCCCAACTGCTATTACAGGGTTGACGTGAAACGTTTAGTTTACACGGAGAAGATTACGAGTGTCGAACAATTTCGCGCAAAAACCGTCTCCGCTTTCAAACTTGAGAAGTCAACTAAGTCGCTTTTCAAACTAGTGTTCAGAAACTTTTGCAATTGTTTATTCTAGATATATTTAATTTATAGACATTCTGTAGTGTTTGTACTTATTGACAAACACGTTATAGCGCGTCTTCATTAGAGTTCATTAAAAAAATACTACAATTACGGTTTTTACTCTATTGGACGTTGTAAGAGTTCATGAAAAATGGATAAAGTAAAGAATATTAAGAGATCTAGTAGAGGTGGTGAACCTTGGATATTAAGTCACATCATTCGATATAATCAGCGTTGCCAATGTCAATTGTTCAAAATCTCCAAAAATCACGGTTAAAATCCTCAAATTTGGGGAGAGCAAAGTTCGTATTCCCCACAAATTCCCCATATCTCGAATTTTCATTATTTATTAGAAATACATCGCTTAAAAATATAATAAAGAATTAAGTAACGCAAAATGTAATAATCTATTACGTTTGCTGTGAATGTAAACAGAATGTAAAAAGTAAAACTAATTATAAAATTAGATGACCTTAAATCGTTTATTTTAATAATAATAATAATAAACATAATAATAATAATAATAATAATAATAATAATAATAACGTACACACTCAACGTAGCCCCGCACTAGGGAAAAGCTGTGTCGTGGGTGCCATGGACACACACGTAGACAACCACAAATTACACCCAAACTCACGAGATAAATAAATGTAGGTCATACAAATATTTCTCCCGACCCGGGAATCGAACCTGGGAGCTCTGCCTGGCATTCCGGCATGATAACCGTTCGGCCACGGAGGCAGTTATATTAATTATAATATTAATTAGATTCAACATTAATCTGTAATCAGTCTGAACAAAAAATCATTTTTCTTTGCCTTACAAAATTAAGTAAATTGATTATTTGTTGTGCATTTGGTGACACTATGTTAACGTTAGAAATAATCAATGAGTTTCGACCTATATTTAATATTTAAAGTTGACGAGTGGTAAGTTGTGGTGTGGAAGTACCAACTGCTCGGCTTTGTTTATCAATAGCTGATTTCGTTTTGCTTCATACCGGGGACCGGTCTAAGCGGGAGAAAGAATCGCGAACTCAACACGCACCGACTGGTAATACAAGAACAAGTAATTCAGAACCAAGTGCTCTAATAATAATTCTATTTAAGCTGCTTGTTAATAATACGGAGGGATGTGCAATGGTGAAAAACACGTCAATATGTTTATTTTTGTAATGTTTCTAACAGCAACGATCAAACTAGCGATGCATGAATGATAAAATGTTAGTATCCCCACATTTTCCTCACATAGCGCCAATCCCCACAAAATCCCCAATCTAGTTGAAACTCCCCACAATTTGGGGAATTCCCCACAAATTGGCAACGCTGGATACAATAGTCGTAATTCACGCTCGGGCCGGTCATGGCCGGCATTTGTTTGTTGACAAATAAATAAACATTGTGAAGTAATGCCGTGTTGTGAAACGATAAAAACAATAAAAATGAGCGCGTAAACTACTATACTTCAATGTTGTGTATGTGTATTGTGCCGTTTATCAATAGAATACAGTGAAATCATTGTGTGAAATGTGGTTGGCGTGAAGAAATAATCTCAATTTTGTAATGAAAATTTTATTTCTTCCAACGTAATTTAGGTATGTCATTAAAATATTCCTTATATTTATATGACAGGTAATTTAACCACCTTTTTAGTCATACATAACACATTCCATATAATTATACAAAATAACGTTTTTTTTTTTGCGACAAATTGGATTTTTTCAATTGCTTTTTTTTAAACAGTGTTTTGAAAAGTTTTTATTGCATAATACGCTCACTATAACTTTATAAAGGTTTTGTAATACTGTCAAAAGAAAAAATCGCTTGGAAACATCGCGTTTTGTAGACAATCATAAAAACTTCATAGAAGTGAATGTTCTTCTACAAGATCAACTACACTAAAGCAAGTAAAGATAATCTTTTCGTATTCTAAAGTTTTTCTATAGACAAAGCTATAGACAAAATGTTCCCAACTGTGTTTTAAAAAAAGCTTTACGTTCTTATCGCCGTTTTTATTTTTAAAGAATGACTATGAAGTAGCCGAGAAAAATTTATTTTCTTTTTAAAAAGTAAATCTAAGTTGAAATTAGCTTGAAGAAGCTTAGAACTTCTTGGAAATGGTTTGTTTTATGAGTTATTTTGTATATTTAAGCTTTCTATAAATATTTAAAACCGAAAATCGATAACTGTATTTTTATTAAGTTTATATTTTATACATAAATATTTAAAATTTAGCGAGCGCATTACTTTTATGGCAGGTTTTACATCACTTTTCACAGTGTATTTAAAGTCGCACGTCAATTTGCGCTTTCTAACCGATTAAACATTGCGTGAAAAAGTCAGAAATATTATATCTAATTTCGCCATGTTGCAATTTTGATCGTTTATATTTTGTAAGCCATTAAACTTGAAATCTATTAGTATTAAGAGAATTGCGTCTTATGTTTGTAACGCTTTAGTATTTTGGTTTTAAAATAGCATTACTAAGAAAACTATCATAGACTATAAATTATCTAAAAACTGTCTACAAGACTAAATAAAAACTGTCTACATTCTATAAATCGTCTTGCAGCATTCTAGAAGGGTTACTTGAGAAAAAAGATAAGAATTACTCTTAACACTAGCTACAGATAGTTTGTCAAAGCACTCTTGTGATCTACTAATAAAGTTGTGCCCACTTTTACTTTAAATTATCTAGAAACCTTCTTCGAGACATCTTGAGGGAAATTGAACTCTTAAAATATTCAATCGAATTAAATTCTATTAGATATCTTATAGTATATGTTTAGTTATAGGTGTGCTGCTTGGGCAGTGATAGTAGACACTTAAGGTTTTAACCTAAACTTAGTAAGTACCAAAGCTGATTTACAAAAAAACAAACATTTGCAGTCAACTTCTCTAATTATTGTAAATAATTAATAAATTATGACAATACGTAATCATAATATAAAAAAGTAGGTAATTAATCCATCGAGAACGTTTACGTATCGTTTGAGCGCCTCGGTTTCGAGGTGCATACGTTTTAAACATAATTTATTTTGCAAAATTTTATTAGATACAATTAGTCAGAATACTGAACAGAATGTATTATTATATGTTTTTAATATTTTTAGACGATTAAGTATTATTTATATATATTTTTTAAATATGGCGAGAATGCAAATCAACATACTGAATAGACAATTTGTTTTTAAGCTGTAATATACAGAAATACGCGTAAACAGATGCCTAAAATACAGGCACAGATTTATTTAGATTGGGCATCGCAATTACACATTAGGTTCTAATATTAAAATGTATAACTTTACTACGAAAATGTATAATTTAAGTTCGTTTCTTATTGTTTATTTTAATGCTATCATAGCTTTATTTACATTTGTTTTTCTTGCATTGTATTAGATTAAGATATATTTAAATAAATTTATCTTATAACCAACCTGCACCAAAAGCTTCTACATATTCGACTGCGTGTGGAGGCACTCCAGCTTCCGTGTAAAATTCGTTCATGAAACGGGCAGCAACTTGAGAGTCTCTGCAGAACCCAAACTTAGGGCCTACCTCTGTTTCCAGCAATTCTGTGAACTCGCTTTTCACGTGGACTACCTCTGCATAAATCCTAAAAAAAACACGTAGTTAATAAACACATTTATGACTCACATAATTTACATTCGTACCGTGCTTAGCCTTGTTTAGATAAATAATTATATTAAATAAATATATAACTTTTCTGTCGTGCTTGCGATAAGTACATACAAGTACGTGTAACAGTAAGTCTATATCGTCACTGGAAAGCGATAATGCTGTAACACTCAAAAACTCAAGTTTTCACTGGAGCCAAACCAAAAATTCCAAAAACGAAATAAATCATAACTCTGAAACGGTTCGAGTTTATTGTGCCATATTTAGCAAATAAACCTATAAAAAATAGGACTTCTTAACAATAAACTTTAATTTCAAATAGTCCTACTCCCAATGACTATTATGTGAGTTACGACAATTTAATTTTCAGATTTTAACCCCAAGAATGCTGTAACTTTCCAGTTAATTTTTATGAAGGTGCGACTAATGCCGTCAATTTACGGTATTTTAAGAGTTATGTAAGTGAATTAGAGCTCCTTAACGCATTTTTGGTCTTTAAATGTTAACTTCTTGAAGATGTACGAAATTCAATACTGCTGTAAGAGTATTTTTTAAACCAAATCAGTTAACAATAAAACGGCGTTAGTGCAAATCACATGCAATTTACATGACTTAAAATGTTTATTATTAAAAATAACCAATTTTTTTTATTTTTGTGAAAAAGACTTTGGTCACAGTGAGTACAATGAAACGAATTGAATTATAATATTGGAGTTTTAACAAAATCATTGAAACAATAACACAAAATCATTGACACTTTGTGTGCCATATTACATCGATCTTAGAACTAATGAATTATAAATTCCTTAAAATTCTATAAAAGAATAATAATCAACAACTAATCTTACTATTGATTATTAGTTTCTATTTTCCGTTCCAATATTTTCTATTTTAGTTTTGTTGTTTGGTACCTACGAGGAAAAGGAGTATCTACATGTTAACGATTTAAAATTATTACGTGTTAGTATAAATTCAACTATAATTATAATATTAGACAATCCCTGTTCCTCCTAGGCACTAGGCAATGAACTAAAATAATAAAAATTCAGAAACATTTTATCATAATCATAATTTAAATTAAAACAGACTATATTCATCGATTAAGCAGACTTTAATATTTAAAAAAAATATTTCAAATAAACATTCTAAATAACGTCGTAACTTTTTGTCATATTCCATGAACTGCAACCCGGTTGTACATCATCGATATTTTCGGGTGGCAACTGGTCAATTGCAGGTTAGGTTCGGGAACTGCAACCCGCGTCTACATTATTGGTATCTTTGAAAGTACACATTTCTATGATCATTTCAGTAGGTACGTTGAATACATTTTTCTCAGGGTTTTCTAAACGTGGGCGTCAGATCACAAACTTTTGTAGAGACTACTTTGGATTTGGCGTGTTGCACATCTTTTGGTGACATTTTCCGGAGCTTCTTAATGCAGTGTGTGGCATTAAATCTAGTTGAATTATTCCCGGTGGAAGATTGTTGCACATTGGATTAGATTACAATTCATTAGAACCGTTTGATGGCCGTAGTAATTTGTTATTTAAAATTTCAGTCTTAGGTTGTTTTGATCTAGTAGCATAGCATTCGGCGACAGAAAATTGTCTATTTCTACTCTTTTTACTCACCTAGCCATTTTCTTCTTTTTTGTGACATTGTGTTTTTATATTTGTTAGCATGTGACGAATATACTTTATACTAAATTTACTTTATATTAAACTTTATGGTACGAACGAATGACTTAACATACCTACAGTCATTTAGACTTTAGACATATCACAATAGCTTTGAACTTAGTAGGATTTCTCAGTCGATTAAAATCACTTTAATCATGGTGATTGGAGTAAATTTATCTATAATTTAACATTCTTACTCATTTAAGTAAGAAAGTTAAATGCATCGTACCTTTTTTTTACGTAGATCATTAATTTCTGATTCTTATGGTCTGAATAAATAAAAAAGATCAAACGTAAACAAATGATAAAATAAAATAAGGAAAAGAAATACTATTTTCATTAATGATTGAAAAATTGCTTTCGATTTTGCTATAAAAAAACTCGGACAACACACACAACACCCTCACTGCTCAATGCGCAGTCTCTAAAGATTGCTGTAAGTTGCAGTATCATGAAGCGACGGAAGGATAAAATGATGTAAGGAGAATTTCTGTACTTATTTACATTTGTTTTCAAATATCGTAACACCCATTACACTGTTGAAACTCGGACCTTTAAAACGCTGTAAATCACACCTTAATAACACCCACGTAAATGCTATAAGTGGAACAATTTTAATATTAGGGAATGCAAAAATGCTGTAACCAGAGGCAAAGAAAAATTCAATTACGTGTTCTTGATGTAACGCATATTTCGCAAAAAACACCGGATTTTATGCGGGTTAAATTGAGAAAAAACTATCAAAAAAAGGATGCTGTCCAGAGTTTATTTTTCATTTTAGAGACGTGAGACCCAGACCAACCGAAGCACAAAAAAAAAACGGAACAAGAATATGCAAAAAAAAGCATTTTCGCAGGTATTGCGGGTTACAGCATTATCGCTTTCCAGCGACGATATGAATTTCAAATATACTTACTGTTAGTATTGTTAGCACGGTAGTTTTATAATTGTAATTTTTTAAGCTTTTTATTGAATATCGCGATGTTTGACCATCATGATATTCAATTAGTTTTGTGAAATTACTGCACTAGTTTGCTATAATTATTAATACAAAGATGGAACATTAAGAACCATCGTCTTTCAGGAAACCGGCGTAGCTAGATGCTACGCCAGTTAAGCCTCGGAACGAACTAGTGGACTTTTCGAATTATTCTATGTGCTTGTTGCAGATCTTTGTTCTTGGTTTTTTTAACGACTTTTTTGCCGTAGCGCCATCTGTGACAAATCTATTTCTTCACTCAGCCAGGTACCTTTACATCTACCACCAGCTGACTAGAACTGTCGCTTAAATAATTGTAACTTTTTCAGTTTTCTATTGATTTGTTGGAAGGCGCCGGTTCGAGTCAAGCCGGATCGAAGGATGTTCTTCGTAGTGTTCGATCTTTGTATTAATAATTATAAGTTGTACAATTCCAATAAAATTCATAAATTTCACCTCGACGGTAGCCGTGGGTAGCCTAATGGTTTGACCGGCCGCCTCTCAAACAGAGGCCGTGGGTTCAAATATGGGCACCTCTAGTTTCTCGGAATTCACGTGCGAAATTTAATTTGCGTTTCCCATGAGCTTTTCGGTAAAGGAAAACATCGTAATGAAACCTGCATGTCGCAGAAGGTTCACAGCACTCGGAAAACGTGTGAAGCACCAACACGCATTGGGCCAGAGTGGCGGACTATGGCATTAACCCTCGCCTGAGTGGAGATCCGTGCCCAGCAGCGGGACGTACAAAAGGGTTGATGATGGTGATGATGATCTGGATAGTGCTGGATTTACGATTAAATACCTTTTAGCGTCCTTAGCTTTCTGTAGGAGCAGCATGTTCACCGCATCAGATTTTGCACAGCCGTCCGCATTTTGGTCAAACGACTTAGTTTTGCCGTCTTTGCTTATCTTTACGACTCTGAAACAACACTTCATTCATTCAAATTACTATAGACATATGAAGAAATCTAGAAAATACAAATAATTAAATATACGTTATCGCAAAAGCAAGCGCTAACAATGAACTGAGGCTATCAGCGCAAAAGTGGTGTAACCCATAGAATGCTATTTTCATGCATAAACAATATTTAATTATTCAATTTCTTTGACACATGAAAAGAACATCCAAATATAAAATAATCATGGAGGTATCTTTTAAAGTAATATTGTAGTAATATTGTTCTCCAACTCTCATATGATGATACGGAGAATCTTCTACATCCAATTAAATAAAGTTAATAATTATTTTGTAAAAACACAACTACATGACAAATATCTATTTATTTTTATAATAATATATATTAATATATTAATATACTACAAACACTCAAGAAAACTCACATACACACACATACACACACGCACACACAAACACATCCACGCAC